GTTGAGAACCGCTAATTTAAAGGGTAACCAATTATTAAGGCCAACAGAAATTCTGCCATTCATCACAGGAAATTAGAACTATATTTTAGAAAACCAGAAACATGACTACTGGGTTAATATTTACTGTTGAACAGCATTCTTGGAAACTACATTTTTATGAATTAAATCAATTTATCATTCCTATTATAGTTTTACTTTGACATTTGCAAAACAGGTGTATTCCTCAAACAGTAACACACCATGTCTTTCTAAAAATTCTTAGTTCATCGGTCTTGAAATTAATATGTCAAAGAACATGTTGGTGCGCTAGCATAAGTCCCTGTTTTATTGTGTAAAAACACAAATTGATTAGTCATCTTGTCAATATGACAGTGTACTCTGGAACTCTGTATTCTATAGCTAAAGTTTTTATAAGTATTGTAAATTGCAATTGTAGAAGATTAATGGCAAGAGACAAGATTCACATTCACTTTTACTTTGTTCAGTAATTTATTGACAGATCATTGATAGAAGGAAAAAAAAAAGAGCACAAAGAAGTAAAAATGGGAATATAAGATTTTAAGGAAAATTGTACATGCAGTGCTGTGGGAACTGCGGTGTGTCTCCATATTTCCATCTCCACATGCTGAGAAAAAATCTAAAATATTCCTCATTGGGGTTGAGAAATGAAGAGTAAAGTGATAGAAACTCCACCGGCATCCTGTTGTGGGACACAAACCTTTACATTACAAACTACCATATGATGGCGTGATGGAAATTGGCATCTCCTCCTCTGCCTCTTCCTATTTTGCCTCTTTACTCCTCCCCAACGACCTCACTCTTCCTGTTGATCCCGTCCAAATTGTCAGCCTTCCATTGTCAGAAATGTAACATTGTGTTGTGCTCCAGTTACATATACTAACTTAGGATTCATCTGGGAGAATATATCAGTTCAGGCAAAAGTTATAAAGTCTGATGAAAATGCATAAAAATATTCTTGACCTTACAAAGAGGTTGGACAAATGTTCAACCTTTTTGTATGTTTACTTACAGTGGAGGAAATAAGTATTTGATCCCCCACTGACTTCAAAAAAATGTATACAAAAAATGAAACATCTCAGAATTTTATGCCAGCTTTATTTTCACAGTGACACAGAGTATCAAAAGAAAAACAGAAAATTACATAAAATGAGAAATTGAATTCTATTGAAGGAAATAAGTATTTGACACCCCCAGTGAAACATTTAATATTTGGTGGCAAAACCCTTGTTGGAAAGCAGTAGTTTTTGTTTTTTTAATAAGGTGTGCACACCTATAAGGAGTAATTTTGGCCCATCTCCAAATTCTTAATTTTAGGCTTGCGTTTGTAAACCTGAAGCTTTAGCTCTCTCCATAGATTTTCAATGGGATTGAGGTCAGGAAACATATCATGGCCATTCCATTCCATGACCTTGATATGTTTCTTCTGGAGCCACGTCTTTGTTTCCTTTACTGAAAGATATAGTCTGGGTGGGAAATTTTCCAACCAAGATGGCTCATGTCTAACACGAAATAAAAAGGAAAGATTTAACATTGTCTGAACAAATTAATACCTGTAATCACAGTAAAGTTAAGTATTTACTGAGGTCATTAGGTCGAATCCCCTGAGTCCAACACCGGGATGTAAGTTTGAAAATCTTTTACTTTTTTCTGAACAAATTTTAGTCCCGATTTTTTTTTTTTTCCCTTATTGACAAACTAACCCCTGGAAAAAAACATAAGGGGAGGGTGGGTACTTTATATGATAACATAACATATCATTGTGGTTTTTCACACCACAAGGTAGAGAAATAATAGACACTGCATCTTGTTAACATACTCGAGTTGCACACTGATGAGTTAAAAGTCATGGTGTATCAAACGAGTGTGAAATAACATATTTCTTGGATATTAGTACCTGATAATTATTTGAAAAACTGAAATTTAGACTGCAACAACAGGGGTCAGATGCTAAACTAAATTTCCAACAAAGCCATCCACCTTTTTCAGTACATTTTAAAGAGAAAGTCACATTGTCCAGTGAGATTAATAACTGGTCTGTAGACAGAAAAACTAACTCCTGCTATGCGATTTCTGTATGTTTGGAAACTATTTTTAATTATCTTTATGATATTATGAGTTTTAGTAAAAAAAAATTATATTTTCCAATAAAACAAATAAACCAATGAACCAATAAAAAATTAACATTTAAACTGTCAAACATTTCTGTAGTGTGCGCACAGTTTTAGTGACATGCATTTGTTGGTATCTTTTTTAATATATTTGGCCCCAGGTGGAGCAAGAAAATGTTTTGTTTGGAATGACAAACCACCTACTGGTGGATGGAACCGTAACATCAAACAGAGATGGCAGGACACCCTTTCTTTCACAGAATTTGGTGCGATGACCCATTGTGTATGGTTTATCTGGGTTCATGGCTTGAGTTTCAGCCATGGGTGGAGCATGGTGACAATAGAGAGGACTGATGACAGCAACCCACAAGTCCCAACAAACCCTGGGCCAGTTTGATAAATCCCCAGCTTATCCAGTGGAATAAAAATATCACAGCCATTCTTCAGCAGGTCCAACAGGAGTGGTGGGTTGTTGTACAGGACAGTTCCTATTTGATGGATGCGTTTGCGGAGCCAGACCCACATGACAGCAGGAGTCGGAGTGACTGGAATGGAAGAAGATGATGATGATGAAGACAGTTGGTCAGCAAGGATGGCACTGCTGGGACTAGTAGACAATGGTGATTTGGTACTTCTGTAACAATCCTCGCAGTCCAGGAGCAGGCAGAGTTCATACACATCTCGAGTGACATTGAGAATCAGAGCAAATAGGTAGTACCTGTCAAGTTCAACACATATGTTTCAATTGTAGATTTATATTTATTTGTTTATTTCATTCATTTACAGTTTAAGATGAACATATCACATGTTGACATAAGTTTTGAATTTTTATATATAAACACACACACACACATATACACACATACACATATATATGTGTGTGTGTAAATGAAAATTTCAGATTCTTCCATGATTTCTAAGTGGGAGAACTGACAACTTTAGGGTTTTCATATTCAAACATTTATAAATCACATCTGATCCTAAAACATTCATTCAGATACATTGACTCAAGCTGCACTATAGACTCTATAGTCTATAGCGGTTCTCAACGTGGGCGGTACCGCCCCCCAGGGGGCGTTCAGAGGACAGCAGGGGGCGCTGGCG